GTAGTATTCATTTTGCTTTTGCAGCAAGAGCAGTTACAGTCTACTCATTTAGCAGGAATCTCAAATAGATTACAATTTTATTAACTCTAGTCCTCATGCTGGACAGAAGATTTTTAGACTTGTTCATCTTTACTAAGTATTTAGAAAATTCTGAAGAAGAAGGAGAAGGAGAAGGAGGGGGAGGGGGAGGGGGAGGAGAAGAAGCAGCCAGGCATATGAGGCAGGAAGATCTTGAGTTCAAATCCAGTTTCAAAAAAGACAAAACAACAACTACAACAAAAACAAACAAACAACACTTCCCTCAAAACAAAACAAGGGCTGGGGATGTAGCTTAGTGGCAAAATGCTTGGTTAGCATGTATAAGGTCCTGGAGTCAATCTCTAGTAACACACACACACACATACACAGGAAAAATCCTCAAACCTCAAAAACATTCATTAGATCACCATCAAGCAGGAATGAATCTCTGTTTGTTTAAAGAAAATGAGAGGATTTTGAGTAATAACCCCACATTTGCATTGCTGTCAAGGAAGGCAATCACATTCTTCCAAAAATATTTCTTGATGCTTCTGTCAAGGATCAAATCCTGTACTGATCTCTGGTGTTGACATTTTACCTGTGCTCAGTAAACTTGCAAGCAAGCATTTGCCCTTCATGACTTCGTCCTTCAGACCTGGACAAACTGTTCGTATTTGTTCCAGCCTCCTCCACCATTCACCCAGGTGGCTCTTGGCATATGCCAGAGGCCAGAGCTGGGCTGCACCTTCATTGTTCTATACCTTTCCCTACCCCACCCCACTACCCAACCCTAACCCAGCTCTTGCTGTAAGTGGCAGCCATGTTTACCTTCACTCTACACTCCCTCTCCTCTGTGCAGGAGTCCGGGAGGGAAGGGATACAGTGGTCACCCCAGCAATGGAGAAAGTCTCCCTCTTTCCGTTAGTGCTAGAGTCCCGGATGTGCCTTCAGGCTGGTCCTTCGCAGTCTCCTGCCCCTGTGGGCCACATCTAGTCATTCTCCATGTATCATCCCACTTGCAGAGCAGTTTCTCTCAAGACTACCTCTTTGACTGGTCCTATCCTATGCTTGATTTCTGACCCCTACCTCACTCTTTGCATAATAGCAAAGTTCATTCAAAGTTCTCACTAGCTCCTAGTATTTTCCCATGTTCTGAGTAGGGAAATCCTGTCTCCTGGAGACCAGAGATATCACTGCAACAGCCTTCCACTCATCCCAATTTCACCCAGGTTTACCTTCAGTGGACTCCTGAAATGATCAGCCAGGCTCAGACCAATGTAGGCTACCGCCTCCTCTGACTAAACATGCACCAACCCCCTGCTCTGTTGTTCTCCAGTACTAACACTTTCCAAGGCAGGTGATGAGCAAAGAGAAACTCTAGGTCTGGACAGAGCTGACCACAGCTACGTGACTAGCCAGGACAAAAGGACAGCTAACAGTCCTGAACTGTGACTTTTGGAGGCAGGGATCATAGCCTCAACTTCCCTCACATCAAGACTAATTTAATGCAATTAGACAAATTTTGGTGGTTGTAGGAACTTTCAGGGTGACAATATTATGTTCTGATTGTCACCTGTAAAGCTCCAAACTAAATTCTTAAGATCTGGGAAACTTTCATTTGACTGAAAACCCTTCATAATTATATAACACATTTTTGTTTTCAAAATAAAGACAAGCCAATTCAAATTGCCAACAGACCCTGAGGAATCTTTAAAAAGTAGTGTCTAAAAGGTGATCATATATTTATCTTTTGAAATATTTTATGAAAGAGAAAAATGTGCACTAGTTTGTCGACACTCTCATTTTTCAGTTTGCTGTTACTAACAGATAATAGATTGGACAACATGGCACTAGTTTTCTGTAGCCAAAATGTAGAAAGACTCAGAACATAAGGTTTATTCTTCACCAGACAGATCTGGAGAATAGAATATTGGTCAGGATCTTTCTTTTGGGAGGAGAAGGGGTAAACTAGTAGGAATGGAGGACACCATAATGAGAGCAGAAATGGGCACTGAGAAAGGCCCAGCCTGTTGCCCAGAGCAGTCAAAGTTCAGGAAATAGAGGACAATAGAGAGGTATTTGTTTCTTGTTGCTGAAACAAATGAGGAGGAACTTAGTGGCTTAAAACAACACTGATTTATTTTCTCACATTTCTGGAGGTCAGAAGTCCTAAAAGGGCTAAAATCACTGGGCTAAGATCAAGGTGTTGCTAAGGCTGCATTCTTTTCGAAAGTTTTGTAGAGCATCCATCAGTGTTTTACTGGCATTCCTTGGTTCCTGGTCACCTTCTGTACAGAAAGGCAGTGATGGAGGTGGAATCTCTCTCACCTTCTATCACCCCAACTCCAATTCTTCTGCTTCCTTGTTCATGGTCAAGGATCCTTGTGATTATGTGGGGCCCACCTGAATAATTTGGGACAAAGTTCCTCCCTCAAAATAAACTGTTGGCATCTTGAGTCAATCAGCAATTAACTCACTCTTGCCTTAAAATGGTTATAGGTTCTGAAATTTAGGATTTGGGCATCTTGGGGTCAACGCTATTTTGCCTACCAAAAAAGCTCATACAAGTTTTGGGGGTGTATACCTTGTTTCTCATCTGATACCTTAGACACTTGTTAGCTTACACGAATTCTCCATCCTGTCATGGCGGCAGCAGTTATGTAGGATGTGGCAGTGAGAGTTCATGGTAGTTTCTGGCCCCAAGGGTGGGCATGGAGGTAGCAGAGAGCACTGGCTGGCCTAGGAGGGGTGCACCAGTTGAAACAGTGATGCATCTGTGAAAACCACTGTGGATTCCGTGATTGGAGAGTAGAAAGGGACGTGATGCTTCTAAGGTTGTATATGGTTTGAGTGTGCTCCCAAGGGGAACCTTGATTCCCTGTATGGCGTGCTGAGGAGTAGAGTGGGACCTTTAAGAGGTGGGCCCAGTGGAAAAGTCCTCAGGCCAGCAGGGCTCTCCTTCAGAAGGGATGAAGGTCCTTCTCACAGGACCCCCAAACTCTCAGGAGAATGAGCTGTTCCAAGAGTGAGTCTGACCCCTGAAATGGCTTCCTGTTTTGAGATGAAATTGCTTCCTCCCACACACAATCTGCCACTGTGATGCCATTCACTGTTAAGCCCTCACAGAGGCCAAACCAATGGGGCTGCCTGATCTTGAACTTGAACTTCCAGAACCATGAGCTAAATAAACCTCTGTTTATTAAGTTAGCCTGCCCCAGGTATTTTGTTGCAGGAACATAAAACTGACTACACTACACTATACTATACTGTGCTACAGAAATCTACCCCAATATGACTAAGATGAAGATTCTGTCACTAGACTGAAAGGGAATTTGAGATAAACATTAGGTTATTGGAGTACAAATAATGAAAGTTTATATTTTATCTCTCTGATTTGGTGCTGAGAATTTGCCTCCTACATATACATTGGAACAACAATATTGCATCACTTTTCTGATGAGAAATTTGGCAGAAGTAGCTTTATTTGCAAGCACTGGTAAAAATGGAAGCTCAGCAGAACCATCACATGCTCTCCTCCCTGGGCCTCACCTGCTTTCATAGGAGGAGGATGAGTGACTAGACGAGGTGTACACTGAAATCCCACCCTGGAAGGAGGAGTGCTTGACACTCTATTGAGTTTGCTTCTACGTAGTTATTGTGATATGTTTTTAAAAAAAAGGCATTGAAATTGAGATGGGGGTGCAGGCCTATAATGCCAGCACTCTGGGTGGCTGAGGCAGGAAGTTGGCAAGTTTGAGCTCAGCCTGGGCAAGTTAGCAACTTAGCAAGCCTCTGTCTTAAAAACAAAAATGAAAATGGGTGGGGATGGAGCTCAGTGTGAAGGCCCTGGGTTCAATTCCAGTACCATGAAAAAAAGAAAAGAAAAAAACCAGAAGACCTTGAACTAACTTTCTTTCTTTTTTCTTTCAGCAAGGGGGTTGGTCTTGCTATGTTATTCAGGTTGGTCCTGAACTCCTGAGCTCTAATTATCCTCCTGCCTCAATCTCCTGAGAGGTGATATGACAGGAATGTATCACCACAGCTGACTTAGCTTTGTTTTTTGAAATCCAAGAATGTAAAATGCTGAATATAAATTCTCACTCAGCTCTGTGCCTTGCTCAGATGCATGACCAGCAGGGGGAAACAGCTGGCTCTCCTGGTGCCCTTAGTAGGAGTGTGGTTATCTTGCCAGGGCTGTTCTATGTGACCACCTTCAGTCTCAGTCCTGCTACCCATGGCCCCTCCTCATGGATTTTTCATCATAATCTTAATGACCATCATGTCAAGAGCTGCCATAAAAGTCATAGAAAGGCAGCCATTTGGAAGGAAATGATCAGAGGAAGACACAAGGACTGTAATACTTGAGGCTGCAGACAGATATAATTGCATGGGTTGGTCTTGACCTAAGAGTAGCTTTTAGAATGATCTGAGAAACTGCCAATGGGGGACAGTCTTTCCTTGGAGCTGGAGGTGTGGGTGCTGGCCCCATAGAGGAACAGATTTATTATGGAGTCAGTAGGGTTAGTCATTAAGATCTAATAAAAGTCGGATTTGCATTTATTAGGTTTCTGTCACTACAACAAAATACCTGAGATAATTAACTTATAAAGAAAATGTGTTTTATTTTGGCTCATAGTTTTAGGGGTTCTAGTTCATGGTGAAGTGGACACATTGTTTTTAGGCCTCTGGTGGGGATCCTAGATGGCAATGATGGGGAATGTGTGGCAGAGCAGACTACGCACCTCATGGCCAGGAAGCAAAGAGAAGAGGAAGAGACAATCCCCTTTAAGGCCACATCCCAGTGACCTAGAACCTCCCAATAGGCATAACCTCCAAAGGTCTTCATGACCTTCTAATAATGCCACCATAAGGATCAAGCCTTTAACATGTGGAGTGTAGGGGAGACTTCCACAGTCCAAATTAGAGCATAGTCTAAACAAGTGAAAAAATATTAATTACAATATAAGTAATAGTATTAACTAATATTTATTGAGTGCTTATTATGTGTTAGGCACCATTCTAAAGTACTTTATATACATTATCTCACTTAATCTGATAAGAGCTTGGAGGGAAAGGATGGTTATTACCCTCAGTTTAGAGACAAAGAAGCTGGGGCTTAGAGAGGTTATGGTTTCCTGCCTAGGGTCATCCAGCTTGCAAGTGACCATGCTGAGGACTGGACCCTGGTCTCTCTGGCTGCAGAGTCTGAGTGCTTAGCAGTAAGGTGGCCACTGAACACTCTGTCTCCACTGCTGGAGGGAACTCAGTTATGGCATTTTCAGGGTGGAGTTACACTTTCTTACCTCAGCAAGGGTTATGGGGACAAATACTGGCAGCTTATTCTCCAAGGGTCAGGTGTGCATCTAGCTTCAGAAGGCCTTTGGGGCAGGGATGAAGGGAGCTTCTGGACCTCAGGGACTGAGAAAGGGCTCACATAGGGCTCTGCTCATGGTGGGGCAAAGGGGTGGATGGGAAGGAAAACGGAGCTCAATAATACTGCCTCGCAGAAACCAGACTGTGACATTTTTCAGTTTATATCATCCATGGACCATTACAACAGAAGCATTTTCTTAAGGATAAAGCTATACAGAACAATATTAATTACAGATACAGCTCATTGGATTTATTCAGTCCCTTCCCAACAATTTGAGGTGATTCTTGTTATCCTGGAGTCTGAACATAGCATCACTATCACATCTTGGACAAAACTAGACATGCTCTTGCTATAGGAAGGATGCAGACTTGCTAGATGTCACAGGATAGCAGCAGCAGGGAGGAGACTGAGATCAAATATCTTAGGGTTTTCATAAATAGGACACACATCCCTGATGTTTTTGAACATTTAAGATTCTTCCTAGGGTCCAGATGTTGGGTAGCCCTGGTGACAGAAATCTGATGACCTGTTCACCCATACACTGGTGTCTCTAGACCATGATTCAGATCATGGCTGTCCGTGACTTTTAGGGTGGGCATTATATATGTGTGTGTGTGTGTGTGTATGCACATTTTTAAGGAGGAGGGAGCAGATGGAGTGCTTAAAGCCTTGGTTCCACCTTTGTGCAGGGTGGGACAGAACAGCCTTCGCATTCTGAGTGTGGATTACAGCGAATCTAACCATGACACAATGCTCTGAGAGCCACAGGAACACGTGGTTCTTCTTTTTTTCTTTAATTTTAAAGGGAACATTAGTCAATTCACTGTTACTTGAAGCAGTGCAACTAAATCTGGGGCATTTAATATGTCTATTATCCTTCTTTGCTCAGAAGAGAGGAGTATGGGGTGACTCCTCATCCCTGTGATTCCGAGAAACCTCTCCAGATTCTTCCCAGACAGGCCACCTTTCACTTTATGAGTGCAGTATGTTTTCTGTGACAGTGCTGCCTCCCCCGCTGATGACAAAGCTCCGTGACTTGGACATGACGAGTGCTGGGGACATCTCTTCTGGGTCCTCCAGCTCTGGCTGGTGGTCCCCTGCCACCATCCCTTGTTGGCCTGTTTCCTGGGTGGTCAGGCCTGAGTCTGTGTCCCTGTACTGCAGCGGGAGCAGCGCCTGGTGTCTGCTTAGGCCATCGTTGCTTTTCTGGGTCTCCAGGGAGTTCTGATGGGTGGTGTTCCTGTGGGCCATGGCATTCTTCTGTGGCTCGTCAAAGCTCAGGGAGAAGGTGACTGTGCCACTGCCAAAGATGACCTTCTGCTTGCATCGGGGCTGAGGTTGTGATTGCTGGGGCTGCTGGGGCTGGAGGGTCACAGGCTGCTGTTGCTGCTCTTGCCCAGTCAGGGCCAGTGGCCGCTGCTGCTTCTGCCTCTCGGCCTGTGGAAAGGGGTCTTCGCTGTTGCTCTTGCTGCTGATGGAGGAGGAGGGGATGGAGCCCGTGGAGCCCCCGAGGCTGCTGGACCGCTTGCGTGAGACGTTGCTGCGGCGCAGCGTGGCCCGGGCTGCCACTTTGAAGGCGTGGGCAGCAGTGCTGCAGCGCACCTCCTCGATGGTGTTCCGGGAGGGCTTGAAGAGAATGATGTAGACCTTATTGAAGAAGATGCAGGCTAGCAGACCAAAACTGGCTGCCAGGATGGCGATCACCTCCACTGCCGAGACGAACTTGCCATAGGTGCTGGCATAGGCTGGGATGAAGGAGATCCAGACAATAAAGAAGATGAGCATGCTGAAGGTGATGAACTTGGCTTCATTGAAGTTCTCTGGCAGTTTCCGGGACTTGAAGGCAAAGAAGAAGCAGATGGCAGCCAGTAGGCAGGTGTAGCCAATCAGAAAGCCCAGGGCCATGAGCGAACCCTCGTGGCAGGTGATGAAGATGATCTCATCCTCCAGCTCATGGTTGCGGTAGCTGGATGGGGGCGCAGTGTAAAGCCAGATCACACAGATAACAATCTGCATGAAGGTGCAGAGGAAAACCAGGAGGAACTGCAGGTTGAGCCCCCACCACTTGCGGTGGAAGCTGGTAGGGATCTTGGCCTCAAACACCAGCAGGACACGGTTAGTCTTCACCAGAATGCAGGAGATGCAGAGCACGAAGCTGATGCCAAAGGCAGGCTGGCGCAGGCGACATGTCCAGTCCTGGGGCTCGCCGATGAAGAACAGGGAGCTTGAGAAGCAGCAGAGAAGGGAGAAGAGGAGGAGGTAGGAGAGCTCTCGATTGGTGGCCTTGACAATGGGGGTGTTACGGAACTTGATGAAGACACCCAACACGAAAGCTGTCAGGAAGATGCCCAGCACGGCAAAGAGGGTGAGCGCGATCCCAAAGGGCTCTGTCCATGCCAGAAACTCGATCTCCTTGGCAATGCAGGAAGTGTGGTTCTCATTTGACCAGAAGTCATCTGGGCACTTGTCACAGGCACTTGCATCTGTAAAACATCCCAGTGAACAGCTAGCTACTGTGTGGCACAGGCCAACTTTGTGGGTGTGATGTGGTGGTAAGGACACAGGTTATTGGATGTGGTCACTTTCTATTTTCTTTATTGATGAAATCAACCTGATTTTTATACTATAAAATATGTATCTTTGATAGTTCTATTATAGGTTCTATAGCAGGGGCAACTGTTTCCTTAACATTACCTGCTGATGGTTTGTAGCAGAGACTGCTCTGCATAGCATAGGTCTAGCATGGGCCATAAGTTCTTTGCAGAGTGACTCAAGCTCTGCCTGACTTATTTTTTTAAAATAAATTTTATTGTGCATATTTGAGGTTTGTAATATGACATTGTGGTATACATACAGATATAAGATGAAGTAGGCTAACTTGTCATCTCACATGCAGCCTGATTTATTTGGGATAAGTGGATGGCATGTAGACATGCCAGAATAGACTTCCTTTCAGGTTGAAGCAGACAGTATCCTGTGCATATGACTGCATTTTCCACACTCCATCCATAACTATGTCTTTCTAATGATTCATTCAAGCAATGAATGTATATTAAGCCTTTGCTATATGCCAGCTTTGTGCAGTTTGGGGCAGTAAAGGGAACATAGATTTTGCAGTTAGATGCAGATGGGGTCCTGACCATGCCATTTACTAGCTGTGTGACGTTGGTCAGGCTAATGACACTCTCTAAGCTTCAGTCTCCTCATCTCTAGGATGGAGGCAAAGCTCATTGTTGTGGTGACAATGAGATGGGAGACTAATAACAATTATAGTTAATATTTATAAAGTGCTTCCAATATGCAAGTCCAAGTTTTATTTAAAAGACATTTATGTAGAATTTACTATGAGCTTTTAGCAATATGAAAGTGTTTAATTCTCAAGACTCTGTCAGACAGGTTTAATTATTATCCTCACTTAAAAGAACTTGGGGTACAGGAAAAACATAAAGCAGTGAATACAGTGCCAGGCACTGCTGGTGATCTGTCATGGTCTATTAACTTTGGAGCTGAAGCAGGTGGCACTGTGTCTACTTCAGGTCACTGAACTCTAAGGAAAGAGAAACAGTGCTGGAAAGCAGTGTCAAGGGGAGAGAAAACTGCGCAGTAGTGTATTTGTGAGCGCTTACGGTAGTGAAGGGCTTCTGACATTCCCTTTCTGTGTCCTCTGTATCACACTGCACTCAGCCATGCCCTGGGAAATGGGAAATGGCAGCAGGCACCAACTCAGCTCAGCCCTCCCATGGGATTCTCTGACCCCAGGCCCTTTACCCAGCCTGCAGTGTCCAGGGCACACAACTCCCTTACCTGTCTCATCGCTGTACTCTCCATCAGGACACTCCACACACTCAAAACAGCAAGTGGGCTCCCCTTCAATGATCCCTTTTCTGGTCCCTGCCAGGCAATCACGGCTGCAGTTGGAGAAGGGGACCTGGAGGGCAGAGTGCACCAAAGTGAGTGGCTGTGGCTGTGGGGTTGGGGTTGCTCCTATGAATCCTTTGGAAACATGCAAGGTGGAGGAGTTTGGGCACAAGGACCATTGTGGCAGACACTGGCCTGTTCCAGGGGTCCCTGGTCCTGTTATCTGTGAGAGGGACAGATGCCTATGGGTGAGGGTGTACACACACACACACACACACACACACACACACACACACACACATGTGCACATGGACATCTATGGGGTTTCTAAGATGACAGTTGGCAATTTATACAGTGACCAAAATACTGCTTAAATAATTGCCTCTCCTCTCTCTTCCAAGTCCTAGAATGAGGCACCTGTTTATATTCTATGGATGTAAAATCTTGAAACAAACTAAAAGATACAGGACCATGGGGCTGCACACAGACGTTCAGCCACATGGGGAGGTACTTCGATGAGAGGAAATTTGTTTGAAAGTTGGATTCTGAACTTGGCAGTGTGAATTAAAATTCCTGCATTTTAATTTTAGGCTTTAGTGACTTCTGAGATCTTTGCGACAGCAAAGTGAGGTAATCAGGATAGAAATTGAAGAATTAAAAGTAAATGGGCCAGAGAGCTGTACCAGGCAACTACTAATGAAATGAAACCTTCAGGAGCTCCATTAGTTTCAGAAAACATGGGTTTTATTTATTTATTTCCTTAATGGGCTTCAAGTGCACAGAATTTGATTAGCTAATCATAATCCTTCCATCATTACTGATCCATGTTAGAATTCTTTTTAGTCATTTTTAATATCTATCATCTAAGGCAAAAACCAGGAGTGGAACAATAACCTATATCTAACACTGTGCTTCTCTCTACCTCTTACTCCTGTCTCCACCATGTATTCTTTTCTGGTATGACCACAATCATCCTGGGTTCATCAGGGTCTCCTCCGCAGCTAGTCTTATCCTAGGAGAAGAGGTTGGGGCTTCATACTGTCATATCACTCATTGGCTAGGTCTTGTCATAGGTAAAAGTAAAGTCCTAAGTTATTCTGCCTCTCTGAGTCTGTGGGCAAAGTGGGTTCCATTAGCTTGCCTCCAGTCTTGAAAAAGAGCCATTCATCTTGGTTATGGACATAAAAACATCCAGTCATTCTGGCGCATACAAAGTATAAGCAATCCAAAGGGACCTAGGAAGAGCACCACTATTTTCTACTACTTGAAAATAGATGAAAAGTAGTAAAACGACTAGCAAAGATAAAATAAGACATAACAAAGAAGGTATATCATGATCATGTTGGGTTTATGCTGGGCATGTAGACAGATTTAATATTAGAAAAATCTATAAGTAAGCTAGGCATGGTGGTGTGTGCCTGTAGTCGCAGCTACTCGGGTTGCTCAGGAGGATGTCCTGAGCCCACGAGTTCAAGGTCAGCCTGAGAAACTTAATGAGAACTTGTCTGAAAAAACTACAGTAAACATCATTTTATATGAGAAAATATTTAAAGTATTCCTTTACAACAAGGATGTCTACTATCACCACTACTGTTTAATATTGCACTAGAGATTGTAGCTAGTGGAATAAGACAGAGAAAACATAAGGTCCTACATACTAGAAAGGACTAAATAACAGTTACCACTTATAGCTCATATGATTACCATATAGAAAACCCAAAAGAGCCAGGCATGGTGGTGCATACCTGTTATCCCAGCACTTGGAAGGCTGAGGTTGGAGGATCACTGTGAGTTTGAGGCCAGCCTTGGCTACATACCATAGTAAGTTCAAGGCCAGCCTGGAATATATACCAAGATCCTGTCTCAAAACAAACAAACAAACCTCCAAAGAATAACCAAATTATTAGGAATAATTGGAGAGGATCTGTAGGCTAAAACTTCACAGTATGCCACTATTGTTACTAGAGTTTCATTAGTTTTTCTTACACAAAAGCACTTGACTTTAGTTGTATACTTTTGGTTGAGTTCCAGGTCCTTAAGTGGTTATATTTGACCAATTTTTTGTCCAATTTTATCATTGCTCCACAATTTTAGAAGTTCTGCTTTTATTTCATGTTTTGATCATTTCAGGCAACTGACTACTTTAGAATCTATTATTTATTCCTAACAGCCTATATACTTCAGGAACAATAGGTATAAAAGAATGAAACCTACCTTGCAAAAGCATGTTTTTTAAAGGTAGGAAGCAAATATTACTCATCTTTGTAACTCCAGTTATAAAGCTTTAAATAGTGCTTAATATCTTGCAAGAGTTATATTTTTCTAAAATGTCTTTGATAAGTCTTCTCTCCATTACCTACTTTGTAAGGCATCTGACAAAGTTAAAGTCACAGAAAACAATAAATAAAATGATAATTGCCAATTCTCCTAGAAGACAATAAATAACTGGCTTTACAAAGGAGTTTAAAAAAAGTGAACATTTTGTCTTCAAATAAAAGAGGGATAAAAATGGAACTGATGATTGATGAGATTCTTATAATCTTGAGAAAGAAAACAGAGTGACTGACAATTCACATTAGCGTGTTCAACTCTGGTGACCAGGCACCCTCAGAGATGTCCCCTTGATCCTTCTTGAGTAACTCATCCATCTGATCATGGAATGAATGCCAGGGACCGTGTTTTGCAAACCTACACTAAGAGTGTTCTCAAATTTTCCCTATTAAAGAGTAGTGGTTGCCATACTAAGGGAAGGCAAAGTAAGCTTCCTTTCTCTTTGTAGATTTATGAAGTTCTTGCTTTTAATTTGCAAGAGTGTGGAATGTTACTGAATCTGTATACTGATACTCTACTAGAACTTTCATTGTTTACTTTGTTGATATGATAAGCTAAATTTATAGCATTTATTCTGTTGAAGTCTATAGCAGCATTACATTCTGGTAGATTTCCTACCAACACTTCCAGATCATTTTGTATTATGTATTTATACATTGTTGGTCTGGGTTTACTAATATTTAGGATTTGAACACATTGCTTAATGAAATTGGATCTTATTCAATAAGATTGCCCTATATTTGTCTTTTCTTGTATTGTTCTTGACTGTTTGTGGTACTGAGATCCTATTTGCCTCATAAAGTGAATTTTATAGCTCTCTGTTTTAGCTTCTATTAAGGCTGTGAGTCTACGGCCATACCACCCTGAACGCGCCTGATCTCATCTATTAAGGCTGTGAGTGCCAGAAATCTCAAAATAATGATGGCTGCAACAAGACTGAAATGTATTTTTCTCTGACATGAATGTCTAGGGACATGGTCTAGAGTTCTGGGATATTCTAGGGGGCTGGGGATTTAGACTCTTTCTACCTTATTGGTCTGTTGGGTTAGGTTTTTGCCTCATAATTCTTGTCTGAGTCATTTTCCTATTGTTGGAACATAATTCCTGACACTCACAACTTAAAGGAGGAGAGAAAAGGCTTATTTTGTTTATAGAAGTTTCAATGCATAGTTGGCTGGCTCCATGGTAGGATTGGCATGGTGAAAGGGCCTGGCAGAAGAAAGCTGCTCATATTATGAGGGCCAGGAAGCAGAGAGCAAAGGGAGGAGCTGGAGACAAAGGTGTACTCTCTCAGTGACCGGCCTCTTCCAATCAGGCCCTCCCTCCTAACAGCTCATACAGCTGTGGATGCATCAGTGGATTAATCCACCGATGAGTATAGTGCCCCCATGATCCAATCACCTTCCCAAAGCCTCACCTCTAAACAGGAGCCTCTTGGGAGATATTCTGGATTTAAACTATAACAGTCCGTATAGCACAGTGGCATGCGGTTTCTAGGAGGCAAGTTATAAGAAGGGACAAAGGAGAAAACAAAAGACACTTGTAAGCACTTGTGTTTTGGAGACAGAGTCTCACTATGTATCCCAGGGTCTCACTATGTAGACCTTAACCTGTGATCCTCCTGTCTCAGTCCCTAGGGTACTGAGATCATTGTGTGTGTTACCACCAGGCCCGGCACAAGCACTTTCTTGAGGAAGGCTCCCAGATGCCATTACACAATACTGCCACTTACCTCCCATTCTTCAGGATTTAGTTGCAGAGCCACATTTAGCAAGACAGTAGGCTTGGAAACACCATTATTATTATGGGTGGTCATGTGTTCAGCTAAAATAGAGTTCCACTATTAAAGAAAAAGGGAGTACAAATACAGAAGGGCTTTAGCAGACCCTTTAGCTGTGCCTCTTTTTCTCTTCCTCACAGTGGTTAAAGGACAAGCTTAAGGTCATACAGTGACCAGGATGGACAGTGAGAGACACACTCAGGTCAGTCTTCAATATCTATACTTTTTATTGTGTCAAACACTGCTTTATACTACCTAGTACAAACTTAGAAGAATGAAGAATGTCACCTGTGAGTTCTCTTGCTTCCACCTTCAGCATCCATCAGCTAAAGAGAAATCCTATTACCACAGGAGTGGGCTGAGGCAGCCACTAGATAGATCCATTGTGCACAAGCCATCTAGTATCTCTCAGTTTCCCAGGTGACCCATTAAAGATGTCTGCCAAGGAAGCCCATCTAAATTCTAATCCCTGAATGAAGATGTCTCTTTTAATTCTTATTTGTTGTAGCCATACATGGAAAGAATTATTGGCAGAAGAGTACAGAGGATGGAGCACTGAGGTAAGAGTTTAGGCCTTGAAGACTACTTTCAACCCTTACATTGGCCATCCGTCAGACCTGGGAACTCACCTCTGCATCCCTAACCTTCAGTACTGTCAACTCCAAATTGAAGGATTGGATGTTATAAGGATCTTTAGAGACCCATGTAGATCTAAAGTGCTGCATTGTAACTAAATTGAGAACACTGATTAAGGTATTGTTATGATTTAGATCTAAAACAGCCCCTGAAAGTCTCATGTATTTGGAAAGTGATTAAATCATGGGATCACTATGCTCATCAGTGGATGAGTTCATAGCTGACTTACTGTTAGGAGACCAGGCTTGGTTAGGGGTAGGTGACTGCAGGTGTAACCTGGAAGGCTGTATTCTTCCCCCACCTTAGCCACCAGGAGGTGATCAGCTTTTTTCTGCCAGATGTGTTCCACCATGCCATTTCTATCTTGGAGCCAGACAACCATGGACTGAACCCACTGAAACCATCAGCCAAAATAAATCCCTCCTTCTTTAAGTTAAGGATGTTGAGTATTTTGTCCCAGTGACAAGAAGGTGATTTGTGAAGATACATAGTAATGCTAGAGGGCTGGGGGTGTAGCTTAGTGGAAAAGTATGTGCTTAGTATATATGAGGCCTTTGGTTTCATCCCCAACACTGAAAAAAGGTATAATGAATGTAAATACCACTTTGTATTTAGGTAGTATAATTCAGTTTATAACATGCTTTTATATCCTTGATCTCACTAATAATTTTGTGAAATATGCAGTGAAGTTATTAATATATGATTTATAGCTAAATGTAGATGATATTTTTGTGTTAGCTTCTACAAAAATTTTAGGAAAGTCAGAGTGGATTAGACCCTAAGATTTGTTGAATGCGTACTGTAGGCTAGCTTTGAGGTAAGGGTTCTATGGAAAATTTAGGTTTAATTTATAACTCTGTCAACTATTCAGGAACAGAAGTGATTAAATTTATGAGGATCTCCTGTGTTATTCATTCACTAATGTTCAGGCTCATGATGCACATAGCCTGGTTGAGGGCATTAATGTTATAGAGAACTATTAAAGAAATAGCTTCCAAGCAGGAGGGGGGGCGGTGAGACATGCATCAGTTAGATAATCAATCATATGCATTAATCAGGTGAAAGAAAATGTGGATGACCCAGTGCAGTGAACAAGTGATGGTATAGCTGGTCACTCTAGTCCACTGAAGTGTGTGATAATTTAGACAAGGGTAAAATCAGTCAGCAGGGTATAAACTCTGGAATCCCAAAAGCTCTATCTGGAAAAGGTCATGACATATTAGTAACTGAGACTCCATCCTCTGAGGTAGAAGTTTACAAAGACTTGCACACTAGGAGACCTTCCCATAGGTACCCCATTCTGTCTATTGGGAAATGGTGAAATTATAGCATCTCATTGGACACCATCAACCCATGCAGCATTTTATAACAAGATAAAGGTAAATCTTTGGTCATGACATAAAAAGTGGTTTAAGATGCTCAAAGACAAAAAGGCAAATGCAAAGAGAAATGTGGTGGAACTCAGCCATATTTCCTGGGAGAGTTAAACAGGATGCCCAGTAAAGGGCCTGTGCTTTTTCAGAGGAACAGGGTCCTCCGCATCCAGTTACATTTTAGGATGCAGCAATCAGAGAGTCATCAACTCAGTATATCACATGTCTTTTGCTTAAGTGAATCATCACGGAGTGAGGGGCTTCTGGTTACTAAGCAGGCATCCAGATCCAGTGATATGCAGGAAAGAAGGCCCTGGCCACATTCACAAGTATCTGTCTCTTTGTTACAGGTCTCTCATTGTAGGAGAAGAAGCGGTCCTTTTGACTTATAGGTTGGTTTTGACCTATATGGATGATAGAAAACTACTTCTGTGTGGTAGAAGCTCACAAAGACTTGTGCACTATGGGTGGGGTAACTTTCAATTGATGGTTGTAACAACCAATGCCTTTTCCTGGAGTACCCACCTGTGTTTTAGACTTGAGTGTCTCTCATTGGCTGTTATTGGCAATTGAGATGTAAGGTAAATCTTTGTCATGCAAGATCATCCCACGCATGCTGGACATTTAGCATCTCTGAACCCAAGTGCTGAAGGCCAAAAGTACTTCTGGTCATTGTGACATCCAAAAAAGGAGCCCCCTCCACTCACAGACCTGTCTCACCTACCCAAAGTAGGTAGGATAGATCTCTCTGTTCCAAGTGACAGCTACTGACTTGAGAGGTGTTTATGTTTGCTTAAGTATTTTTCTCTGGCTTAGGAAGTTTTAGCCAGGGAAACTATTAGTAGCCAGTTATTCATATTTTTACAAGGTTAAATTGCTATAATATAATAAGAAGGCATAGGGCTCCAGTTCTGAGGCCTCTCCTTTGTACGTTAAACACTGCAGGAATTTACAGGAGCCCTGAACATGCAGAGTTATTAGTTAACTAGTGAGTTAAGAAAAGGACTCATCATTCTGGAAGTCCAAGGTGGAGCCCCAGACCCTCCCAACACCCAGCTCAGTCTCCTGTCTGTGGAGGGGGCACCTGGCATTCTTATAGACAACACGTACCTCCCTGGAGAAGCCGCTCCACAGGATCTTCTCCTCATTGATGAAGAGTCTCACTCCTTTGTTTGCAGAGACATTATAATTCCCAATTTCCTTAAACATGATGGAGCCATCCTCTGGGGAGAGATGCCAGTTGATGATGGAATAGTTCCCCACCAGGTCACCATACTCATCAAAAGTTACTTGCTCCCCGATGTTGTTGGTAAAGTTTAGATGCCGAAGGTGCTTCAGGACCTAAACAGGAAGAGGGATGAATGAATACAAGCGCAGGGCTGCCACATATGGTTTATGTAAGTTGTGCTTTGCACAAGAGCAGTAAACTATCTTGTTCTAATAAAGTGGAGGGAAAGAGAGTTGAGGGAGAGGCACCTTTTCTAATTTTCACTTGCATGGTAGTTGCATGGGTCAGCAGCATCTCTGGTAAACCAGGGGCCTTACTTACTACTCAAATCTAAGTAGGGTAGGAAACCCTTTCTTGAAGATGAGAAAGAGAAAAGGATGTATCTCCCTAGGCTCTAGCCAAGTCAAGTGCATCATCACCCAGTGGTGCCCATGAGAGGCAGGGTGTGTGGCCAGAAGTACTTCCTGGCATTGTAGCTGGGTGCTGGGGAAGGGAAGGAGGGGTGATGGAGTGAGTGCTCTTTTTGATTTTTTGAGGTACCAGGGATTGAACCCAGGGCCTCCCACATGCTGGGCAAGTGTTCTACCACTGAGCTACTTTATCTGCACCTTCCTTTCCTTCTGTGGAAATGTCTTGCTGCAAAAAATCACAGAAAGGGGTGGAAGGAGGAAAGAAGTGAGGTTGTAGGTGGAGCCAGGGCCATCACTGTTAACAGAGTCACGGCAAATCCCGAATTTACATAAAGTGTTACGGGTCACAAAGCCTTTGCACAAAATAGTAATAAAAACAATTATTGATGTATACTAGTCATTTAAAACTTGTAAATACTAGTCATTTTACTACTTTTGAGGCATGATTCTAAGTAATTTATATTCATCTGTTAATTTAACCTTCACAACAAATAGTATGATTATCCCCTACTTTATTGATGGGGAAACTGAGGTACAGAAAATTTAAGTATCTTGTTCAAAATTACAAACCTATTCTGTCTCTATGTCTCTGTCTCTGTCTCTCTCTTCCTCCCTCTCTCCTCTCTCCTTTTATTCTGTCTTCTTTTCTTTCTTTCTGTGGTACTAAGAATTGAATCCAGGGCCTTTGCACTGAGCTACATCCCCAGCCCTATTTATTTTGACACAGGGTGTTGCTAAATTGCACAGGCTGGGCTCCAGTTTTTTTTTCCATTAAGTTTACTGGTACATTTTAGGTATACAATATAGTTACAGTCATCATTGGGATCTTGTACCTTTATGTGATGTATTTTTTTTTTGTTAAATTCTTTTATTGGTACATTTTAGGTATACAACACAATTACATTTCTCATTGGGAATTGTACCTTTACATAATGCATCTTGGTTCTTATTTTTT